TTCAAAAATATCCTTCAGTATGTCCAATGTTAAAATATTTTGCTTCATTCTGTATTAGTAATTTGAGTTTGTGTGTTCTTCTCCTTTAATTGTAATCTTTAGTTCCTTCTAGTTCCCTCTAGTGTTCAGTTTTTAAAGTCTTATCTTACTATTTTTTTTTAAAGAATTCAAAACAAAAGCTTTTTCCCATGGGAAGGATTCTTTATAATTAATTCCAAAATCTTATTTCAAATTTATCTGGGCCCTTAGTCCATTTGTAACTATCTAAAATCAAAATTGTAATCACCCTTTTGCTGTTTATTCCAGAAAAAAATCATTTAAATCCTTAAACTTGTATTTAAAACTTCTTTCACTAAGGATTGAGGGAAACTCACCCAGTGTTGTAAAATCTGTCGATCCAAAGATTCCTAAAAGCTGAAAAGCAGTTAATAAGGAATTTCTGAAAGTGATTAGAAAAGGAAGTATGTGAACCCAGTGTCCTTTTAAAGTTGCTGGCTGTGCTTTGAGCAAGATGGCTATTCCCTCAGAGCTCTAAATCTTCAGGAGACTGCTCCTTGCAGGAAGCAACTGTCTGGAGCACTTGTGGGCAATCTCAAGTCCTCTCCTTGTCCGGAGAGGAATTACAAAGAGCTGGTCTACTCACCAGCTCTTCATTCCACCACAGTTGTTGGCTCTGCTTTTCATGAAGCTGTCTTCACTTCACCATTTCTTCCCCAGAAGTCTTCCAGGGACAAATTTTTCTCTAGAAAACTATGTAAGGGCAATATTTCTATCCTGTCTTGGCTTTAGATTCCTGAGAAAAATCACTTACAAAATCACTGACAAATCAAGATCAATTGCAATATGACTTGACTTACTGTATTTTATAGGATCAGTAACTACTGGCCCACAATTCTGCCTTAAGCACAAATGGTTGTTACTCTGGAAGAACTCACAGACACACCATATATCCTGCTTCTATAGAAAATGGAGCTTAGCTCATCTTGGATATTTCACTTCACATATTATTAGCATAGATTCATGAAAAGTCCAAGAGGAGGGATGACATAGGAGAAACACAGTCCCTCAGTCCTCCGCTTCATTCTTTTGGATCCCTCTGCTTCCGGGCTGCGTACGTTTCCTAATTTCCATAGCCATATTATCATGAACTCATGCACCTCATAGTTACTATAGTGGGCTGCCGTAAGTGTAGGAGGAGTGAATACTGGTAGTACTTTCTATTGTAATTAAAATAGAAAGGTTTCCATAGCACTTCCTGTGTTTGTAAACAAAGGAAACTAGTACATTATGGTCAAAGGATCGGGAGGTGGCATAATTTGTAATGTATCCATTCAACTCAAATGCAACCATTTCTGTTGTAGAAAAGCCTAGTGGCAATTCCTTGGGGAAGAATATCTCACTGCTTCTCTTGGAGATAAGATGCCAATCCATGCAAATTCAGTCAAATAAAGCAGATGTGTTTTATCTTCATGGCTGTGATATCAGTATAAGGATCAAGTTGAAAATATATGGAGAGTACTACATGGAAGTGTAAATATTAATTATTCTGGGACCTTAATGGTGAAATAATTTGTTTTGTTAGTGTCAACAGGCTCCTGCTGGCTTTGTTTTGAACAACTAACTCTGTGCTTTATTGCTCAGTTATATATATGTGTTGTTATCGTCTCTGCATTTTCTCCATATATCACTCAGCTCATCTACAGTATCCATCTGGTTAGACTGAAAAGTTAGTTAGGTAATAAAGGGATGAACTGTAAAATCTCAGTGAGTCATAAACACCCTTCAATACAAGTAGAATTGTATGCCAAGCCATTTACTAACATATGTGGTGAAATAGAAGAACAACACTCTTTTCTCTCATCAGGAATTGGTAGGTTATTTTTTTTCCTAACTGTTTGTCACAATACTCCAATGAAGGTAAATAAACTCTTCTTTTTCAGTTTTTTTTCTTTTATTTACTTTTTTATTAAGTAGGTTATCTTAGTTAGACCCTGAGATCATGGGGAGTTGTGCTGAAATACAGGTAGACAGTGAGGTCATGAGGAGTTGTGTAGCTTGTTATAACCTGTACAAGAAAGGTGAGTACATATTCTTACATTTCAGATCAAAATCATTTAGATTCTGGGATGTGTTGATTTATACATACACACACCCACACAGACACTTCAAAGTGTCATCAAAATCTTCCTGGAAGCATGGGCTTCTCTTTAGGTTTAGCTGTGCTATTATCCGAAGACTGAGCTCTCTGGAGAAGGCTCTAATGCTGGGAAAAGTGGAAGGAAAGAGAAGAAGAGGAAGACCAGCAAGGTAGATGGACTCAGTTGCAGTGGCAATGGGTGCACAGTTGGAAGACCTGAAGGACCAAGTTTGGGACAGATCATCATGGAGAAAATCTATGTGGTTTTGATGGCACATAATCAAGTTAGTGAAGGGACCAAAGTGTATCTTGCCATTCATACAAGATACACAGCAAGCCACAATCATCATTCTTTCTATATAACAAATTTTCTGTGAGGTAGTCTTCCATCAGAAACCATATATTATGCATGCAGGAAGCACTGTATATTCTGCCTGAAGACATCAGCACATATGTTTACCTTTCCTTCACCCTCTCTTCAACCTCCCGTAACTGTTAGGTATCCAGCTGGGAAGGTCTGCCTGCTTTCTGGCAGATGATGTATGAGTGGCACAATGGCCCTGTGTGCTGTACAATCTGGAGCCTATAAATACAGAGTGCACTGCTTCCAACAGAACAGGAGAAATTGAGAAGTTGCAGTACTGCTTTTTGTGTCTCTGTTTTTCTTGTCTGAACTCAAATACAGGTAGTCCTCGCTTAAGGATGGTAATTGGGGCTGGCAACTCCTTCACTAAGTGATGAGGTCGTGAAGCACAAGTGACATGACCACGCCAACTTATGACAGCAGTTGCAGCAGACCCAATTGCCATTGTTAGGCAAATCCCACATAGTCACGGTGTCCCACGGTCACGTGATCACCATTTGCAACCTCCTGCCGGTTTCCCCATTGACTTTGCTTGTCAGAAGCCAGCAGTGAAGGTCACAAATGGTAATCACATGACTGTGGGATGCTGCAACATCGTAATTGTGAGCTGGTTGCCAAGTGCCCAAGTTGTGATCATGTGACCATGGGAACACTGTGACAGCTGCAACTATAAGGATCCATCGTAGGTCCCCCTTGTTCAGCGCCTTCATAATTTCAAACAGTTGCTGAACAAGTGCTCATTCAGCAAGGACTACCTGTAAGTTCCTGCTCTCAAGTGAGAAGTTTTTGATGTTCTCCTTTTGCCCCCAATTTGCATTTTACCTAGAATGCTGGGAAGTGTGCCTACAATTTGTTATTTTTGAATCCCCGGGACTATTTTTACTGCTTTCCTACTTGTGACATTTGGGACTGGTCCCAGAGATTCCAGACTTATTTTTGGGGGGGGGGGAGACTGAAACTGATGCAAGGAATTAAGACTTGGTTGAAGCAGCAGGAGCTTCTGGAATACCAGCTCTTCTTTCGGTGTAACCGAAGAAGCTTCTGCTCATGCCGCTCATCCTAATAGCCAGGATTATTTGCATGCACACGATTAATGTGCTTTCGTGGGAGGAGAGGAAAGGGAGAGAACTTCACAGAAATGACCCCTGAAGCTAATATTAGCATTTCATGAGAATCTGGTTCCTCCATCTATCTGATGTTAGCTGTTGCAGCTTGCTCTGCAAAAAGCAACTTTTTTTCATGTACCTGTTCAAAGACCCAAATAACAGAACAGCCATTATGCTACAGTCTCCCGTCCTACGGCTGACCTGTGCTTACCTGGAGACTGCCAAAGGCTATTCTCAGACTTCCTTTTAGATAGTATTGTTGCCATGGAGCAGTTGGTCTGTGCAGCTTAGTAACCTTGAGGGCATCCAGGGGATGTGCAGCACTAAGCAAACTCTTTGGTTTGTTTCCTAAGGAAGTAGCCCACATGTACTAGTTCCTGCTTACCTTTTGCTCCTAACCGTTATGCTGAACAGTAAGCTACTAAGGGAGCAGAAGGAGACAGTGAGCCACTCAGCTTGGGCAGCGATGCTGAGAAAGAGCTAGTCTATTTATTGACGTAAATGTTCCTGTGAGGGTATGTCCTCTAAGCTGCATGTGATTTCCCAACATTCCTTTCGCAGCTCCTTGGGAAACCCACATTTTATAGGCTTCTCTTTGAGACAATTTTTCAAGGACAACTTACAAAGATTTTGCTAATCAGAATATTAAAATGGGGGATGAGCAAAGCTTGCAACCTGGTGTGAATGTGTATATTTGGAAGGAGGCTCTAACCGCCTGGCCTTCAGGAAGACATATACATTTGATTTTTATCCAGTGAAAGAAGAGAGCAATAGAGGGGAAGTTAAGGGATGTGAAAATCTGGGCAAATTCTTACATCCTGGCTCTTTCATTTCCCCCCAGGATCTCCCACTTGGAGCTTAATACTACATGTTTTCCTCCAGGAGAGTGTTACGTTGGGGCTTTTTGGCTTGGGTCAGCATTACATGCTCTTGAAAGCAGTGTCAGGTCAAACCACTCTCTTTTGACAGCCCTCATCCTCCATTAATTAAGGAAAATTAGTCTGAAATAACAGCTTCTGAACAGCCACTGGAGTGAAGCATCTCTCTTCATTTTTTTTAATATAACTTTATTAAAAATTAAAAAGATAAAAACTAACAAGTACTAATATTTAGAACGAAGAGAGAAGAAAAAAAAGAGAAACAAGAACAAAGCTAAAAGTGCAGGAACAAAGAGGAAAAGAAATATAAAGAAATGACTTTGGATTTTCTTTTACAGCAGTTGTATCTATAAATGTAAATCAACCTCTTACTCTATGGTTACCACATTGCTTACATTTTTTCTATAATCTGGGGGTTTTTTTCTAATCACCAAAACCATACATCATAATTTCATTTTTTCCTGTTTCACGCAAAAGTCAATAAGGGGATTCCAATCAGCATTGAAAGCACCTCTTTTCAGAAGTAGGAAGAGGGGGTGGTGTACTTCTTAGCTGGAGAAATGTACAGAGGTATATTGTACAAGTCCTGGGTTTCCAGTTTCTTTTCCTTTTTTCAAGTTGTTTAGTTACAACATTTTGATAGTTCCTGTGTTCTTTCAAGAAGGGAAGAGTACCTCCCCTGCAGAAGAGTGGTTCTCATCTGCCATTGTTTTAGGATATACACTACTCTGAGTTTCTTTTCAAGGTGAAGGCGTAGTACTTTTACTTTTTAAAAAATGGAGCTGGTTGCTTTTGCATTTGGGAGGGATCTTAATTTTGCTCAGCCACATCTTGCGGGGATTGGAGTATTTTCCTTGTGTCACATGGTTCATTGGCTTTGCAGTTGTGCAAAAAAAAAAAAAAAAGTGGCTGCATCTGCTAAAGTACTTTTTAAGTGAATGGAGGCTTCCCATTTTCCCACTCCCCTAATCAGGTCTCAGCTCCTTGAGGGGAGACAAGCTGAATCGTTCTTGGGGATGAAGTTGGGAGGCCACTGAAGCCCAGCAACACAAAAAGAAGCTCCTCATTCTCCCTGTTCTCTTTTCTTGCTTTATATTTAACACTACTCTCCCCTAAAGAAAATAAGTTGCCTTTGAAAAGGGCTAAATGTTTAACTGGTCCATAAGTAAGTGATGACTGAGGTGGCTTTTACTGTGTTTCTTAGTTTAATGCAAAACTGTGGTGAATTTAAATGAAAGAGAGGGGTCTTGCAAACATTTTCCTTTTTACTAAACTACCACAACTGGGTCTAGCCCATTTCTTTGGCTCTATTAATATTTTTGATGTCCTAACAGGACTAATATATATGAATTTCTTCGACGAGATCAGAGATCCTTTCTTTTCTTTTTTCTTTTCTTTTTTAAGTTCTGAACTTCTAGATCCATATGACAATCACAGAGGCACCTCCAACCTTGAACAGTGAAAGCTGGCTGATTGAGCATGGAAAATATTATTTTTCCCCCTTTATGATTTTCTTCCTTTTACAGGGGGAAAAATTGAATCTTATCCAACCTCATTCTATCTGTATTTCTCAGATATGCTTTATCTGAGAAGTTATCTCAGAGAACAGTTTCAAGACAGTGGACTGTATATTGTTCACAGTACACAAACACCAGATGAATCTTTTTTCCTTCTCTAACTGAGTAACTGGCAAATAAACCTAGTTAATCTCTATAAATTACAAAGTTACAATAGTTTAATTTCTCCTAGAAGCAAAAAGTCATTGGCCAGTTGGCGTAGCAGTTCCATTCTCCAGGAAAGTATGTTTGGGTTGGTTTTGTTCGTTCTTAGCCACATCTTTGGGCTAAAATCTTGTCGGTATTTTTCTTACACTCTGTGCTCCCTCTCTCTCTTTTTGACAACTTTCAGGGAAAAGATATCTTGACACAGAAGCTCCCATTATGGCAACAATCTTGTTCTGATCCCAACAAGATCCCAGACCGTGCTCTCCAGCTTATGCAGCAGATGGCCCTCAGCAGCAATGGTTCTATCATGGCCACACCTCTGTCAACATCCAAGTCAAACCTCATCATCTCGGACCCTATACCTGGTGCCAAACCTCTCCCAGTCCCACCAGAGCTGGCACCTTTTGTAGGAGTAAGTATAGCCTGGATTGATAAATTATGGAGAAATGTCATAATCATTCAGCAGGAAGATGTAGGGCGGGGGTGTGCAACTTTTTTAAAGTCAAGGCTACAGTGGGCCTTTTACTAGCATGTTGGAGGTCACATACTTCTAAACGTAAAGGGACCAGAATTAAAATTGATTTAAGTTTTGATTTAATTTAAACCAGTTAAAATGACTGTTACTTTACATTTAAGAATTTCCATGCGGCTTTGGGTGTACCGTCTTATTTTGCTCAGATACAAAAGGCAAAGTGTTTCTGAATTAGGATTGCATCTTTGAAAGACAACTTTTGCAAGTCAAATAGGTTCTACCGCACTTGTCCTATAGAATATAAATGTGCCAATTCATTTCTGGGCAAAATATGAAGTGCTGGTCATTATCATCAAAGCCTAACAAAACTATTGGAGAAAACCCCTTTTTTTGTATGAACCTCCAGGCTTACTAAGATCATCTGAGGTAGTTTGCCATCATCTAAGGAGGTGAACTCATCTGGTAGCATTGTGGATTCAAGTCTTCTCTGTTGCTGCCCCAGTCTTTGGAATGTACTCCCTACAGGGTTGAGGGGGCTAACAGCATCATTAGATTTTAAAATGGGCCCTTTTGGAATAGCAACCCTGGCAATTCATGCCTTCATCCCTTCAAGGTTAGACTGCTGTAATGTGCTCTACTTAATGCTGCTTTTCAAAACTACTGAGAAACTACAGACAGTACAGAATGCAGCTGCCCGCTTGCTGGCAGATGAGAACCACCATAGCAGTGTCCCACCAGTTCTGCAGGAGCTATCTTGGTTGCCAGTAGGTTTCCAAGGACACTTCAGAGTCCCGGTATTAACCCAGTTGGTGGTGGTGTTTATGTACATGGATTAGCTCCTGGTTTACCTTTGGGACCATGTCGTCTGGAAAGAAAGAATTGGCCCATCCTACATGTTTAAGCTGAGAGGGAATGCTTTAATCACTTTCCCTTCAAGAGACAAGACAGGTGGAGACCCAGAGAAGGGTTTCATGGTGGCTCCCATCACTTTGGAACAGCTTTCTCCCCTTGAGACCAAGATTGGCCCCACCTGGTCTATTTTTAGGAAGGTGACAAAGGCAATCTTATTTTGCTGGGTATTGGAGCCTAGCAACCTACAGTTAGAGTTTGGGGGGAGATTTTTAATTGGTATTTTAACTTAATTAAATGTAATTTAATTTATGTCTCAATTTTAATTTTTAAGTGTAAACTGGAAACAGTATATTAAGTTACAATAAATAATTAAAATACATTTTAAAATGTATTTTCACAAGGCTGAGGCCTCTTAGTCAGCTTTTTTTGTTCATTCTTGAAAAGTAAGGCATAGGGACTGAAATCAGTTGATACGTTGCTGATAAACTTGCACAAGTCAGTAATGGATTTTGTCCCAAATTTACACCAGTCTTTAAAAGCTGGACCCAGTGGTGATAGGAAAATTGGGTGATTAAGAGAACTTATGCTTCCTTCTGCTGAAGTATTTGGGTTTGCGCTTAAACAATTCAGGGCTATTTGTATTTTTCATTAGTTTGCATTAAAGATCTGCCTGGCTGCTGCCCAAAACATATTTACTCAGTCCAGTTTTAAAACTGTAACATGATATGTTGGGGCAGGTTGGCCATGAATTGTGTGAAGAAATTCTAAGTAACACAGATTCGCAAACCTGAGCACAAAAAGCTGAACTCACAGTACTCTGACAGCTATTATAAAATGTGGTATACCCTGGTAAGACTAGTTTTATTTTGGCATGTCCTTCTGGGCAGAGTTCAATACCTTAAAGCTAGCTAGTTTAAAGAAGAGCCATGGTTTGAAGTTACATTACAGATTTAAGCAATTTGATAGGACCATCTATTTCCCCAGTCTGCCAGTCAAAAGACACTGTGTTCCACCTTTTCCTCCTTAATCAGTTTTCTGCTGGAAAGAAAAAAAAAATATGGAAGAAGTGGTGGGAAAAATGAGAGGGCAGCATTATGTAGACTATTTGTAATATTCTGTGGACGAGGCAGAATGGTTGTGCAAAACAAAAGCTTGTGTCTGGAGCTCCCTGTCTGTGTTTCTCTCTCCCTCTCCCCATCCCCACTCTTCCTTCAGCGAATGTCTGCACAAGAGACCATTCCAGTGATGAATGGTGTGTCAGGCTCAGAAGGTGAAGATTACAGTCATTGGTCTGACCGAAAGCTTCCTCAGCCGAAGTCCTTATCCCCACCACAAACTCAGAAGCAATTGAGTGACTCTTACTCCAATACTCTCCCTGTGCGCAAAAGCGTAATGCCGAAAAACAGCTATGCAGCCAGTAAGTCATTCTTGTAAGAGATTATTCCCCCTACCCTACCCTCCGTTTTGGAGGACAGCATCTGTCAGATTCTGGGTGAGATGGCCACTGTGTTCCTACAGCGTTGGGCAGAGGAACAAAGTGGGAGAGGGGGCCTAAAGCAACTTTCTTCAGGCTTTCCATATATGAAAAGACTATAGCTCTCTAAATCCCCAGCCATCACAGCAATCCCAAGACATCCGGAGTACCCCAGCTTGGAGAAAGCTGGCATAGAAACAGAAGGATGGCACCAACTTCTAAAGCATGTCTCACTTTGAGTCCCTTAAAATGTCCAGCTAGAACTGCATCTTTCTGCTGGGAGAAACAAGAACAAGTATTGAAAAAGCACTGAAAATTGGGGGGGGGGGCAAAATAGCTCAGAAATTGCATCAGGCTTGCTGACATAGCTGTCATGTAGGCAGGGCTTTGTCAGAAATTAATTAGATTTGCTTGTTTCTTATGGCAAGCACTTGCACAATAGAAGTGGATGAGTCAGACGTTTGCATATACCTGAAGAAGGCTTTTTCCTACAGAAGCTATGAACAATAAAGCTGTTTCTCTAAAGAGCTGCAGCACTGTTTGCTCTTCTGCATCATATTAGAAACAGTGGTGAACAAAGCCTCCTTTAGAGTGACATCACTCTGCAGTGTTTATTATCTTCTGACTAAGGTAAAAGTGCCTTTGAGTCAGGCTCAACTTCGTAGACACAATCGTGCAGCATTCTTGACAGCAACGTGGAAGTGGATGTGTTTCAGCTTCCCAGTCTAGCCAGTAGCACAAGCATTCCATGGGAGCTTCTCACCCGAGTACTTGCCAGGTTGACTCCAATACTACTATAGCTTGGTTGTAGCAAGAGATAAGAAAGTACTTACAGCATGGAACATGATGGTGAGGTTACTGTCCTGTGTTGTTATTTATTTGTCGAATTTACTGTATATAGCCACCCATCTCATTCATGTGACTCTGGGTGGTGTACCCAATTAAAACACAGAGATAAACAATCAACGTGATTCAAACACAACCATTAAAAAACAGTTTAAAAACTATAATAATAAAAAGACATTTTCCGCTGCTTCCTTTTATGCCATAATTATTATTAATAATTATGCATAATGCACAGGTATCACCACCTAATGTTTGTTTTTAAGAGGAGGCTGCTCAGTGCAGCATATCGGTGTGGCTGTTTTGCCAGGAAATTCAGTCAGTATTTTCTTACGTTTTTCAAATTCATTGGCATTTATGACCAAGAGATAAATGTTTAAGATGATGAAGGGAAGCGTTGGATGCAAGCATTATAGGGAGATTATTGTACAAAACAAAATAAGAAATGTCATTTTGCTCGCAAAACGAGAAGGGTATAGGCAGTAGTCCATTAAGTGATGGATCTTAATATTTTCCTTAAGTTTGTATTGCATAATTATGAGAGATGCAGATTGAAATGTTAAGCTTTTCTGAATATCTCACTTTGTTGCAAGACGGCCAGTACTGCTTTGGTATGCCCCTTTTTTTAGTGGAGCCTCAGCCTACATTATTATTGGAAACTGATGTTCACAAAGGAGCTATATTCACTAAGTCTATAGGCATCAACAATCTGCAGTCTTTTATTTTTCAGAACATGTTTGACAAACTTTCTCCAGTAACTGAAATATTAGCACAGAAAATGAAGTAACAGAAAAATGTTTATTTGTTGAAAATAGTGAATTCCATCTCTGTCTGCCTGTCTTTCAGCTGAAAACAAGACTCTTCCCCGTTCCAGCTCCATGGCAGCAGGACTGGAAAAGAACGGCAGAACAAGAGTACGCGCCATCTTCTCTCATGCCGCTGGGGATAACAGCACCCTTCTGAGCTTCAAGGAGGGAGACCTTATTACGTTGCTAGTGCCTGAGGCCCGAGATGGGTGGCACTATGGAGAGAGCGAAAAGACAAAACTGTGAGTGTGTGTGTTTGTTTCTGGGCCTCAAAATGGTGTTTTCTGACGATACCGTCATCTTAAATTGTGTTCTTCAGCATTCAACTGCTTTGTTAGTGCAGGAGTGGGCAATGTCAGTGTTAGGGTAACTTAGCTTCTCAACCTTCCAGAGAGCACAGAAAGGGTAGAGCCAATTTCCCTACTCTGAGCCACCCCCAGACAGTCAAAGCCATGCCGCCTTTCGCCCCCAAAGTTCAGTGGTACTATTTGGGTATGCTGGAGTGCTGTAGATGGAGCAAACTGGGGGCTATGTCATGTGTGATCCTCTCTGTCATATTGATCTTTTCCCCAGTGTAGCTGGAGGCATTGCTGCAGAAATTGCAATGAGAGTTCCAGCATTTTGCATCTGCATCTAAGCTGATATTGATAAACCAGAGAGGGAGAGAGAAGAGAAATTCCAAAACACTGCAAGGCAGTATTTTATATTAGGGAACTCTGATGAACTTTGGGACTAAGGCAGATTATTGTTTTATACTTTCTGTGCTTAAAACATAGTATGACTTTCCAGTGAACTTTTTCCTTACCCTGATTTGGAAATCTTTGCTCCGGTAGCCAATACTGAAGTTGGTGTGCCAAGAAGTGGAATGTATAATAAACAGTTCTGCCCTCAACATCACAGCTCCCACGCTGGGGAATGCCAGAAAAAAAAAATGAAGAGGGAGGGCAGAAATTGCAGGCATTTAATTCTTGGAGAGTCTGTAGTGTAACTAGGAACAAAAGCTGTCGCTGGGGTGGACTGCTCCAGCAGGTTTGCTTTGGCATAATATGTTTGCTTAGGATTAGGCGGAAAAAAAGTCTTCCTTGGCAACGGTTGTGCAGGTAAGCTCCTTCATAGATACTGAATATTTATCATTTTTTTCCTCTCTCATTCCCAACCTCTCAGTATTTAAAGCTCTAAATCTGGAGCTGCAGTCTTTTTCTGTTGTCCACTAAATATAGCCGTACCTTTACTCCTTCTTCCATGTACTTTGTGATTGGCTTGACAACAAATGCCAGTTGCCATGCAAATGGCTGGTTTAATTAGCAGAACAAGATTACAAAGCCTTAGAACTGGAGGGCAGTCCTGAAGGGGACATCTGCTGACCTGGTCATTCCTTTTTTAGCCCAGGCAAACATCCATGGGGTGAGCTGGGAAGCTAGGTGGCTGGTGTACAATGAACTTGGAGAGCAGAATAATCTTGCCAGCAGCTTCACAAAGTAAAAGCTCAGATGGCAGTAGTATGGGCTGTGACCATTTGGGGAACTGCTACATATATTAGCAGCTTTCCTTTAAAAGATCCAGGACTAAATCATTCTAGATACTCAAATACTACACTCTGCTGAAGCTTACTGGCAAACCACCAACATTCAGTAATGTGATATTTTGAACATTTTTTTTTTAATTAACAGGTCAAATATATACTCAGTTCCTTATAAATCTGTTTGAAGACACTTCCACATAGCTAGTGCTTTAACTCCCCAAGTTCTCAGAGTTGCACTCACACTTCTTGGCTGCCATGAAATTAACTAGTGCCTCTGGCCAGTGGGAGGGGAGTGCAAAAACGGGTGCTCATCTGGTGTCCTATCCCCCTCCTCCTTCCCTGTCTTTGCCTCCCTGCATTTGTTTTCTGGTAAGGAAAAAAACACAAACTTAATGCATTGAAGCAGCAAAGCTGTCCCACTGGCAGGATGGGGAAGGATAGCGAGGTGTAATGGCTCCCTGCCTTTGGGAGGAGTGGGAGGAATCCAAGGGCCTGGAAGGCAATTATGAGGCAAAGGTTCCCACCAGTGGGAAATAACAATCTTCACGGTCTTTCTTCTGAAAAACCAGCTGAGCTGGAATTAATTGCTCACTTGCCAAAGACCTTCCGAGACTAGCAGAGTCAAGGGCACAAAGAGGCGCTGCATTGATTCCAGATCGGTGTAGCTTACGTGTATGGAAAGGGCCATGTTTCTAAAAAACTCTCCCCAGTCCCCTAAGTTTTGAAAGAAGTGGCCAAACAATTCATCCCCAGGCCCCCACTGCACCATCACCATTCTTCCGGCAGCCACTGGAGACAAAAAGAATTATAGGAAGAAAGGATGGGCGCTAACCATGTTACTGGCTCACAAGCTTTGTCATGTCATAAAATGGAGAGCAAATGACCTATGTAAGCATTTTGAAGTGACAATTTCTTCAATTGGATTTTAAAAATATCTTTCTTTGAACTGGGGGATATTTGGTTTATTCAGAATAGTTCAGATTATATGATTAAAACTGTAAGGAGCATTCTGGGTTTTTCCCATGTGGAATTCATGGGGAAAGCTTTGTGGGTGCTCAAAAGGTAGTTCAGTGAGCAGGGCTTTTGAATACTACAGATTGTTGTGCCCCTTATTATCTGTTTCTCTGACGGATCCTGTCTTCTGCTTCTGTTGTCTTCTTGTCTAAAATCGTGCATTTACCAAAAATGCAGACTGAGGGATGCAGCAGGAACACAGGCAAGACTGGTTCCTTTTTACTGCATAGCTAGGCTTTGAGCTTACAGGCTCTGGAGATTTGCACAACATACTGAGAGAAGTGAACTATCCATAGCTGAAATTCAACAATAGCAATTTCTACTTTGGCTATAGAATACTGAAATTCTAATACCTTAACAACCCTTCTTCAGTATGTTCCTATCCCCTTCGTTGAATGGGAAAAGAACTTGGGACTTTTTTCTTTTTTTCTACCTATGTTGTAGGAGAGGCTGGTTTCCTTTCTCCTACACACGCGTGCTGGACAGTGATGGGAGCGATCGATTACATATGAGGTAAGAAAGTTACGTGGATGGACGCAGTGTAAACATCTGACATTTGAATCATGTTTGTATTCAAGCAGAGGAGCCCTGTATTTGCTCAGCCGGAAGCTGTGTCTGTCCTGCACTGCCGCCTTCTGGCTTATCCTTCATCAGGAATTTTACTATATTGGCTTCGTGTTTCTTGAACTAAGATTTCAGGCTTTGCTGTGAAAATATATGCTGTCCCTTTGTACGTGTGCCTCTGTGTGTGCATGCATTTGTACGCACACAGGTGTATATATGTGTGCGTGTACGTGTGATCTGGAGCAAACTAGCGTGAATATGTTTGGTAGAAAGATTCCTATGACAGTGTTTCATATGGTAAGTGTAGTGAACGCATATGGCCCCAGATGGAAAGACTCCAAGCCTTGGTGGTGACAGGAGGAGGATGTTCTCTCAGAGATTCGGAGCAGGTTCCCATAGGACCTCCTTCCTGAAAGACATGTGGGAGTAAGAGAATCTGAGGAATCCTGGTTTTGTCTGGATGCAAGGAATGAAGCAAGATTTAATGGCTAATAAAGCGTACTCTGTTTGGAAATTGTGCCACAGGGGAGTCGCTGACCAAATGTATTTATGTCTTCAGCCAGGGGAAAAGCAGTAGTACAGGTAACCTGTTGGACAAAGATGATATCCCCCCTCCAGATTACAGCATGTCCTCCCGAACTTTCCAGGCACAGAATGTCAGCACTTTCAAACAGAGGCCGTACAGCGTGGCAGCGCCAGCATTCCCCCAGGTGAGACACATTTTCAGCTCGGATGAGAGGAGGTGTACTCATTGTGAGTAAATACACCAAGCAGAAGGGCCTCTGCCAGATGTAGTTTCTAGGGCTCCATTGGTGGAGAGGGGATGTGGATTCTCAGATAATCAGCATTCTGTGGGTGACAATGATACATTTCTTATTCTTCTGATTGGGTATGGTTTATCTTTATTTTTTACTAAAGTTTGAAATGGTCATTGCCTGTAGAAAAATGGATTAAGCCAAATGGGCGTATGGATTGGTGAGTATTAAATGGGCTTTAGATCATTTTTTAAATTTAAATATAGCTGCTGTGATTATTAAGAGTAAAGGAAGAACTGGCACTGCAGGTTTTTCTACAGCTGGTACAACAGAAGGAGAGGATTCCAGCTGGAAGATATCCTGCAAGACACTGAGACATGCTTTATTTTAACCATGATTTGGGTAACAAGCCATAGAAGCCTGGTTCACAGAATACTAAGCCATAACTATGATTTTTCAAATCACAGAGACTAGTGTTCCTCAAAATCAAACCAAAACATGGCTCAGCGCCGTGTGTGTGCAAAACTAGTCCATGTGAACTGTGGTTGAATGGAACAAACTTGAGGTTAGCCCACCAATGGACTGCCAGCTCTTGTTTTCCACTAAGCCAACTTCAATATCTGTTTGAACTCATTACTCTCCCCTGTGGGACAAGGAAGCCTTTGGGATGAAACGCTTGATACTGTGGAAAGTTCACTGGGCTACAAGCAACAAGATTTTGAAACCCCACCTTGATCCTTGGAGTTTATATCTGTTTGAGTTGATTGGGTCTTGTGGTGCTGCTTCTTGATGACGTAATTGCTGTAACCCTGATAAGTCTTTCCTGTTGCCTGCAAATTGTTTGGAAGCTTCTGCAAAATTGAAAGCTAGGATGGGAAGTCAGTAAACCACTTCCTTTGATGTAGCAGTTATTCTGCCTCCTTTATGGTAAGCTACAGTGCCTTCCATATGCCACACAACAATCAAATGAAGTTACAGTTGCCATTATTTTTTGAAGCTGATCAACAGAAGGAAACCTGGGCCAAAACTCAGAGACGGGTGTGTATACTGGGGGTTGGTAGGAGGCTGTCTTGCTAAAAGTAGTTGGGTTGCACCATTGCTGAAGTGAATGTTCCTCAAGTTTCTGTTTCATAACATGGGTGTTCTTACAAGCAGGTGAGGCTTTCTTGCCAACGGTTGCTTGTGTTCATTATTTATAGGAGTACCTTATGCCCTATGGTTGTGCAATTAATGAATATTCCCGTGGCCTCTTCTCAGTATCACCCGCCTCCTACCAGCCTTATTCTAGGTCAACAGCCGTAAGTCCCAAGAACACATTGTTTCCGTTGGGGTTTCGAAGGCCTGTTTTCTGCCTCAGGCATCTTTGTGGCTTACCCAACATACGTATCCTGGCTCCACTCATCTTCCCATCCTCCTCAATCTGAAGAAGCCGGTGAGGCTCCTTAAAAAAAAATGAAAACAGCTGACAGAAAAGCAAACATGAGCAGAGATAAAGAATTAATTGACTGGCAAATTAGTGATGGGTAAGGCAGAAAGACTGGCAGTAAAGGGCAATGTAAATACCCAACTGGTAACATGTGTCTGTTCTACAAGTATCTAACTGCAGAATTCAGTGGCTCTTCGCCCAACAATGCTTATTTTTCCCCCCCTTGGATTTTCAGACCTTCCACAAGGAAACTGTCTCTAGAGGCTTGGGAAGACTAGTGGGTCGATAGAGACAAGGAAAGGAAGCTGAGGGACGTGGAAAGGGAATGTGCACGTTAGTAGGCAAAGGGGGGGTGGTGGGAGGTAAATCACTTTGAATTTAATTTTGTTGGAAAGCCTCATTAAAAATATCTCCTATCAAGGGTAGCAAACTGAGAAGAAGGGTTTCAGTCCAAGAGCACTTAGTATTAGAATAAAGGCACAATTTTTGGTTGTAAAGAAGCTAAGTTACCTGAGACTTTCTAAGCACAAGGATCCACCCTTTTCTCAAGTACTTTAGCATTAAAACTCTATGTCAGAGTGTGCTGTGAAGAGATAAGTTGCAAAATAATAGTAGTTTTGTGGTTTTGGCTAGAAAATGTTGGTTTCTTTAATGGCTAGTTTTGATGCTCAAGTCAGGGATTTTCGTTCAGAAGCCACTTTTTCCTGCCATAAACATGTCAGACTTATTCTCCCCACCCCCCCAGTTAAGAGGCTACCATGGTGCTATTTAAATATATTTGAGCATGTTCCTTCCATTTCAGTATAGGCTGTCAGCCCTGAACAGCTGACAACTGTGATCTAAATTTTGTATTTTTGTCTGGAATACTTATTGCCATGAGTCAGGTGAAAATGATTAGAAGTACTGTAGTTGAGCCAAAAGACCTTCATAGGTCTGAACAGGAGTATGGGTCTATTAGTTCAGGCTGGAAGAAAATTCCTAGAACTGTCCAAGATTACAAGTCCTTTTACATCAAGAACAGGGAACCTGTAGCACTTTCAGTTCCCGACATCTTCATCACTGGATGATGCTGGCGGTGACAGCTGGGAGTTGTAGGTCAGCCATATTTGAAGGCTCAGAAATTCAGTACTCTGTTATACAACATAGTAGGACTTAAAACGATTCATGCCATCTACAGTAGCTGTATGATTTGACTTCACCAAAACGGGAAAAATAAGCACCTTTACTTTTTCTTCTCTTCTCTGGGTATATCAGAGAACAGCAATGAAAATGCATGGATGCTTTGATTTCATCTGTTCTATCTCTTTGAAGAGAAGATAATGTGCAAAAGAGATGGTGCCTTCTTCCATCAGAAACTGCAACGCTATCAATCTGCATTTGCCACAGGGTCTTTTTGCACTGTGCCTAACATTTTGCACAGTCCCTTTTAGCATCCTGCGCTGCATGTCTTTAAGTTGGAGACTATTTTTAATCTTACAGCTCTGCTATCCAAAATCACACTCAGGTGAAACAAATGTAACTTTTTGCCAATGTCTTTCACATTATTTTTGAGACCAAGTCCTCTGACTATGTCTTTGAAGACTATTGGGACAATGCATATGTCTAACTTCCATTGCCATCTTTTTGGTCAATGCATTATGATTCCATAGCTGATGTCCTTTCCCCCCCTCTTTTCTACAGGGACTGGATGACTATGGGGCAAGATCCTCAAGCAGGTAAGATACTTACTTTTCAAATCCATCGTGGAACTACAAAATTAGTTTCAATATGAGAAGCTAGAGTTTGGGCAAAAGTTTAAAAGTGATGTCAAATGCAATTCCTAGTGGTTTCATTGACATGTTCCATATAGGAATTTTGGAAACTATACAGAAGTGGGATTTTTTTTCTTCCTGGTCTAGCCTACAGCCCTGCAGTTTTTCCCATTGAAATTCAACCCCCCAGATCCCTCCCAGGACCAGTCTTGCTTAGCTTTCTTAGATCAGCCACCTAGCCTGGCAGAAGTTTGCATGAAACTAATTCTCACAGAACCACGTGTTTTTAAAGCACATGGGAACTGTGAGTCCAGGAGCCAAGTCCATGTTTTCTGAGCAAGGCACTCAGAAAATACAAATTGCTTGTATTTTGGTAGTGGATTTGGTCTGGATCTTCACAAAGAGGATATAAACTATGCTGAAGACCTTCACCTTAATTTTTTCTTGAACCAAGATGCTCCTCATACATATATATATCCAACATGTTTTTCCCTTTCAGGGTAACCAGTATTATGCAAAGTACAGAAAAAGATTATGCACCTTGCTCAGACTCATTTGAGTGGGCAGTATAAAAATGCTGCAAATAAGTAACAAGGAATAGCTATACCTCATTATATCTTTCTATCCTTGTGGCCATCACTTCTGCTACATCTATACTTTGCTTCATACATTGCCTTCATTCTTTAAACTTCTCACCTCTCTTTTGGAGGATCTCATCAACTGTATCCAACCACAGCTTTCTTGGTCTCGTTCCTCCTCTTGACCCATTCACTCTTCCTTTGAATATTTGTTTTATAATTCCTATTTATTGTCCCTCTATAACCAAATTATTTCAACACATTTCTTTCCTACTGGTCATCTTTTTTGTAGTTAGTTCACATTTATATTCATACATTCTTGACCCTATCTCTTCTTGTTTTTCCAGACTTCCTAAATAACTATACCCATTGTATTCAACTGACTTTTACATTTCTCCTGACATTCCCAACTCTCACTTCCACATAACTAAATAGGTGAAAGAACATGTTATAAACAGCCATTATTGTTTCATTTGACATTCATTCCTCAAGACAGACTGCATGTTACTCATTAGTTTTTTTATCAGCATTTGCACTTAACATTTCTTTATCCATTTTCCCATCTTTAGTAAACATTCTACCAAGATGCACAAATTCATCTACTTTTTCTAGGGTTTTTTTTTTTTTTGGTGGTGGTGGTTATTTGTGAATAACTTGAGTTCATTCACTCCATCTTCCCTGTCAAACAAAATTGCATTGATACATTAATTTTCAGACTCATACTTCTTGTTGCATCATAGAATGTGTTTCAGTTCACTAGCATATCATTTGGATCCTTAGCCAACAGCGTGGCATCATCTGCAAACACAGGACGTGCCCATTCACATCTTCAGTCAGCACACCTCTAATGTCACCACAAGCATTCCATAGATACATTAAACAACCAAGGGGACATCACACATCCATGTCTTACTCCCTGCTAAATGTTGAACCATTCATTAATTATTTCATTTATTCTCAGGGATGCTTTACTTTCATCATATAAGGCTCTTACTACATTCAGCATATCGATTCCATATTCACACAGAATATTCCATTATTCAAGCTTATTCACTTCATCATATGCTTTCTCTACATTAACCAATTAACATTTTTCACATTCATACTGCATTCCCTTGCTTCAGTTTCATTGCAAATCATTTTATCATTTTTGTTTTTAATTTCATTCACTCTACTGGAGGCTCCTTTTCATCTACTTCCAAAACAATTTTTATTCCCATCAAAATTGCTTTGCATTTTCTCTGTTAAACGTTTCCTTGCTCTCTTTGATTACATTCTTTGTAACCATATTTTTCTCTATATATTATACAATATCAGTTTCTCCTCATTTTTTGCAGCACTCACTTGCTTTTTTTCTCATGCACAGCCTCTTTCACATCAACATTCCATAGAGTATCCTTTTTCATACTTTCTATTAGATTAAAAAGGAAGATGAGCTTTACTGAATGTCAGTATGTTAATCACTACAGAATTTCCCCTTCAGTGTGCAGTGATAGGAAAATATGACTATTCTGTATGTTGCATTGCAACTCATGCAGGGCAGTGGGCATGCCCAACAGACATAGTTGGTGGGTTGAGTTAAGTGAATGTGCACCACACAACATGTCTCAGTTTTCTTCAGTGCATTCGTGAGTCTTTTGCTCGGTGGGACACAAGTTCAATTTTAAATGTAGTATTCCCAGATGGACAGACTGTGATTTGTTGAAGCAGGAATGAATAGTAGATTCCACACTTTGCTCTTCTTGCATCTCCAGCTGCATATTTTCCAGTGTTAGACTACATCTTTTCTGTGGCCTTCAAACTGGGAAACAGTGATTGAAATACCCCTCACAAAACCAGGATTCCCATGGAATGCAAAATCCATGGCCAAGCAACTGGAAGCAGCAAAGATGTCATAGAATAGCAATCTAACGAAGAATAGGTCTTAATTCATATCGTTCCCTCAGTATAGCAACCACTTCTAATGAAGTGGATTCTGCTACTAGGAGTCCAAGTGAAGCTGCCTTTTTTGAGCTGCAGTGAAGCTACAAATAGTCTAATCATTGCTTCCTGCACACTCTCTTTCTGCCCTTGCTCCCTAGTTTCATAGCAATGCATTGCAGGCTACTAGGTGCCCTTCCATCTAGCCTTTCTCTCCCTCCCTCTCTCTCTTCCTCCCTCCCTCCCTCCCTCCCTCTCCCTCTCCCTCTCTTCTCCTCTCTCTCTCTCTCTCTCTCTCTCTCTCTCTCTCTCTCTCTGGTGAAGTGAGGTTTGGCCGAATTGTGTGCTTTTTCTTTCTGTTCCACAGTGGCAGTGGCACTTTGGTATCTACAGTGTGAGAGATGGAACCTTGACTAGAAATGGCAGCTGCTGCTTGGAAGATTTCCTTGTTTTGCTTCTCTGTCCCTTCATTTCCTTCTTTCTTCTGAGAGGCACATTTTTTCTCCCACCTGTCCTCTTTTCAAAGCAACAGTGCCAGCTCTTCCTCTGACCCTTGGGACTCTGAGGACTTCTCCTTAAGGAACCCTTGGAGTTGCTACTCCCCCATTCCCTGGTATTTGCAACCACCCGTTTTGGAGCAGAAAACATCCATGTAGGGAATGTTAGTTTTCTCAGCCGTCGCCTACTGGATGCAATTGAGATAAACTAAACTAGATAGAGATGCTGCATCTCTCTCTCTCTTTCTCTCTCTGATTTATAAATTATTTTACTTTTCTTAATGCACTCTCTCTTTTCAGAGATGTTAATGCGAGCTGCACATTTATAACAAAATAAGTGCAAGATCCCCCCCCCTTTTTTTTAAACCATCTGGAAACAAATATGCATGGCATATGGTGTATGTACTGTTATTTCAACTATTCTTTTTCCAACTTTATCACAAAGTCAGTTTTCTGTGTCAAAAGGAAATGCTCGGCCACCTCTGTATTGGTTTTAGTAAGAATTGGACTGTTAAACTGAGCACCAACCCAGTAACCATTTTGTAAAGCATTTTGTTTTATATATATGACAGACACAAGCATATTATATTATTATTCTATTCTATTATAATATATATTTTGTAGGAAGGTATTGTTACCTCACAGTTAGTGCTGGAATAGAGTATTGGAATGGAGGGGAGGGGAGGGGAAGGGAAGGGCCTCTTCCACTGTCTTATGCAGTTTGCCAAATCAATCCAAAGACTTTCTCTTTATAAAACTGGAGGGTTTTTTTGTCTTCTTGGTAGAGAGGGAGGGCCAAACTGCCTATGTTTTGAAGTTCCAGTTCTGAACTTGGTGATTTTTTTTCTTTTTTGCTGAAATTTCAACTACTTTCCTTTCCTTAAAAAGCTGTCAGTCTTCTTTGTGTGTCTTGACTAATTTCAGGGGCAAACAAAATAGGATTGAAATTAATGGCTACTGGGACTGCTTCTTCCGTTACCAAATTCTAGGAGGTCAGACACATGACCCGTGCTAGAGACTGAACGCTTTCAGCTTTGGGTTACAATCTACAGTGTACAGCTGTATAACTGTTATGACCCAAGGGTGTCCGCAGGCCGTGGTCCAAAAAGTCAAGATGGTGGCTGCAGTGGAGCAGTCAAAGCTCCACTTGTGTTTTATGTGTTTTTGCACAGGTGACACCCATGAAAAAAGAGGCCAAGCCCTGATTGCACTGTCCCGGCCACCATATTGACTTTTTGGACCACCCCTGCAGATGCCCTTGTATGACCCCAATGTGAATTAAATGAAAAACAGTCAAAATATTTGATCTGTATAGGAAGCAGCCACCAATATTATCTTGACTAATTGTATATATGGAAGTTCTATCTCTACACATATAACAAAGCTTTTGTTTTATATAATAGACTTGGGACATATGTAGTAAGAGCCTCCTTGTCATAACTTTGCTCAAAAGACCTTTACATCAAGGATACTCTGTAGAATACAGAAAACAAAGCAAAACAGAAAATGCACAAATATTGTGTGAAGACTGTAAAAGTGCTGGTGGGGAGGGGAGTTGTGTTCCTTTTTCTTTTTCTTTTTTAAAAAAGCTAAGTGAAGCAAATACAAAAACAAAACAACAAAAACAAGCTGAAAAGAAATGTGCCCTGTACTATGATATTTGAATAAAAGTTTTACTTCCTCCATTGAGTTGGGCTTGGGTGATTTTCTTCAGGTTCTTTTTTTTAAAGTTCGTTTGCTTGTTTAGCTGACTTTATCATGGGCAGATTATACGCTCACAGTCAGATTGTTTAATATATTTGTGGTACAAAAGACTCTTAGTCCGTCCCCCAACTTCTCAATTTCCCTTTAGTGCCCAGACATCTTCTCATCACTGTTAGAGGGCAAGTTATGGTTATTCCAATTCTACACATTAAAAAACGAGGCTGAAAGAGAGACTTGCTCAAAGCTGGGCCAGGAGTCTGTAGGT